ACAACCACTATTTAAACTGGGAGTCACTAGGAAATTTACAAGTGAGTTGTTTGAAGAAAAAAAAAACACATGAAAGAGGTTTTTGAGTATAAAAGAATATAAAAATAAATACTTACAATAAAAAGATGCAATTTTGCATAATGATAAGTTACTCAAGATTATATTTTTATATAAGCAACAAATAATTAAAAGTTAAAAGAAGACTTCTGAAGTAAAGTACAATTTTAGACCAAGCTTACTATACCAACTGTTACAACTATTGTTGTCATTAATAAAGTTATGTTTCTGCACAGACAGCTTTTTCAAAAAAGAATGAAGATTTGTCTCATATAAAATCCAGAGGTCAGTCAATAATTTTTATTCTAGTATCATGTATTAAAGCAATAGACGATCAAAAAACAATAAATGTTTATTGAATTTAACTGTAGTTCACAAAAAGAAAATATCTAAGAAAGTTTTAATTGCACAAAAACATGTATTATTCCTTAAAGTGATGTTTTAAAAAAGTTGCATTTAAAAGTTGTATTAACTTTTTATAAAAAATGTTAGCCTAAAAGTCACAAACATCAACAATAAAATTTATGCATGGTTACAAAAATGTTTGAACTTGATCTCTCTGTTTGTAGTCTTTCTGTCTTCAAAACATAAGAACTTTACAACGTATTTTGAACTACCAGCGCCATATTATAAATGCTTAAAAAACTTTCAATCAAAAAGTATCAAACATAAAGCAAACTCTAAACTTTTGTTGATGTTTATATAAAACAATGATAACAACCCTAACTCTAAAGCCCTTTAGTTGAGGGCGGGGGTGTTTAACTTTTATAGTGCTATTTTTCGGACAAGATTTGTTTAAGTAGATATTAAAACACAAGAAGTATCTTTTACATAAAGAATATAAAATTTAAATCTTTTTGGTTAATATTTATTTGAAAAATTTATATTCATCAAAAGTAAGAAAAATAGAAAATAGTCTATAATCCATAAAAGATAATGCTCTAAAAACAGCAACTTTTCACAAAGTATCATTTTATGTATGCTTGAAACACCCACAAATATTTTTTTCTTCCAGTCTTTCAAATATGATCTAAAAAATTTATCAACATATATGCTCCTTGAGCGCAGTTGCAATACTACAGACAAATTATGATGAGTAAAATAATAGACAAAATTAGTGGTGTAATTTGGAGAGCATTTTACAAGCTTTATGACTGTTCATTAGCATATGTTCTTAGAGGACACGATTGTTTAGGAATTTTCCACACATCGTTATCATTTTCAACACGTCGAAATCAAATTAGGAGATCCCATGTCACCCATGTTATTTTCAGTTAATGTTAAAAATATGACGAGAATAATAATGTATGTAAAATAATATATAAAACATAATATAATATGTATTACACATATTGCTATAATTTTTGTAGATTTGTTAGTACTGAGCCATAGTTTACAAATTTAGAAAATATAATTAACATCATGGAGTCTTATTGTCAAATGAAAGAAATAAAAATAAACGCAAAAAAAAAAAAGTTTAAAAAAACAAACTACAATACATATAAAGGCTTAAATAAAAAGTTAGTGATATTAGCGAAATACAAACTACGATAGGTAATCATATATATAAAAAGTGTCAAGACTCAAATATTTGGTAGTATGGATTAATGCAAAACTAGGTTTGATGAAACAAATTGAAAAACAAAAAACATAGTAATTTAAGTTATTGCGACAAGTGAGAATAGCTAGTTTTGAAACTAGAGCATATTTGAAGAGTTTTTGTTTAAAGTTCCATAGTATGGGTATGAAAGCCTGCAACTAAATAAATTGAATACTTAAAATATGCAAACAATTAAAGCAAAAATAGTAAAACAATAAGATAATAAACAAACAAATAAGATAAATCAGCCTACTAGCAGTAAACAACTTTGAGCCAGCTGATATTAAATAATCCTGATAAAGCTAAACATTTTTCTATGACGAGTTTACTTACAGCAACAATAAAAGTAGCTTTTCCCGATTAGAAGTAACTTGTCTTGAACAGAAGTAGCTTGTCTTAATTAAAGGTATGAAACCTGCTATTGAATGTAGTGTAACCTGATAGATTGATAGAACCCATAAATTCCTGCCGTAGTTTTGTAATGTCAAGATGAATTAGAAGCCGTCGTAAAGAGGTAATATGTAATAATTTTACTTATGTACTAATAAGTAAAATCATAGAAAGTTATGATAAGAGTTCGCACAAGAAATTTCTCAAGAACAATTTATCGAAGTATACAGTAGGATACTGTATACTTCGATAAATTGATACCGGAGTAGGCTTTTTTGGTGTTGAAGATTGAAGTTTTGCTCCATGTCTGGAGCAATTCAGACATGGAGCAAATTTTAAACATTTGCATGTTTATACTTATGCAAAATAATGAGGCTGTGCAAAAAAATACGGCAAATGAACAAAAAAGCCTTTTGACTTCATCCCCGTTCCCCACCCCAAACGTGAGGGGCAGCAAGTTAATAAAAAATGTTTGTTCTATTCTCAATGATAATTACATTTATCGTAAATTATTGTCACTGTATACTTCGATAAGTTGTTCTTGAAAAATTTCTTGTGCGAACTCTTATCATAATTTTCTATGATTTTACTTATTAGTATCAATTTTTGAACGTTGAGAAATAATACTATGAAACTTAAAATTTATCGATGAATATAAATCTAATTAAGAATAGTACAAAAAATATTTTATTAACTTGTTGCTCCTCACTTTTAGGGTGGGGAGGGTGGGCTTGGGGTTTGGATGAAGCCAAAGAGCTTTTTCTTTACCAGCCTCACACCATTTTTTGCACAGTCTCGTTATTTGGCATAAGTATAAACATGCAAATGCTTGGAGTATGCTCCATGTCTGGAGAAATAGCGGTCATTATTAATTACTTGGCCTTTGCAATTAAAAAGAAATAAAATGTCTTAGAGAAAGAAAAGACGAATAATAATGCTAGGAGAAGTAGTTGCCTATTCAGTAAAACATTCGAGAATAGTATAATTCTATAACTCTTTATCAAAAGTTTCAAGCGGACAAACGGAAAAAATTCGGTTATTATACAAGGTAAATATATGCTCCTTTCCGTCCGGGTTTTTCTTTCCTATTTTTCTTTCCTCAGTTTTCTGGCCGCTTTATCTTGTTGTGCAGTATTGTTGTTCTAATATTTTATTATGCTCTTCAGTGTTTGCAATATTATAATATCTAAATTTTTTAATGCTTTTTATTTTTGCGAATTATGTATATATTTTTTTTAAATATACCATGTTTGTATGTAGTGAATACCTATGTTTGTATCGTATTTTATGTATGTTTTTTATAATAAATAAATGAAACTATTTAATAAAATAAATATAATATATATAATATAATAATATATAATATCAAAATTTTTCATAGATATATAAAAATATATAAATATATAAAAATAATGTATATCAAAAATTTTTTTTTTGTTCAAGATGAATTTGGTAAAGCAAAAGTTTTTAAAATTTTTAATTAAGTTTTTCAAGACGTTTTGCAGTGTTGGCGCCGTTTATTTATACATCACTTTTTAGTTGCAGCAACTCAAACCGTTCGTAAATTTTATCCAAATAGACGTTTTATGTTTAAATAAAAGTTTTGAAGGATGCATTCTTAAAAATATCTCGAATATAAGACAATATTAAACTAATCTTCATAAAATATTTCGAATAATTAAAGATAAACGTTTAGATAGTTAAAATAAATGGGAATAATTTTGATAAAAAAATTTAAAACTGTTATGAAACAAATAATTAGTTAGCCGCATTGCTTAGAACCAAAGATTCGCACAACGTTTTTCATTCATTTTAAATCGCTCATAAATTGTATATTTCTTTGTGAACAAATGCTTTCTTAAAATAAAAATAATAAAAATAAATAAAAAAGCTTTCTTCGCCAAAACTCACTAAAAATAGAGATAAAAAAATTAAGACAAATGTTTTGATTAAGTTGCGCCATCTGTCGAAAGTGAAGTAACCATTTTCTGAAGCTTCAAAAAATGAGTGTTTGGTTGCTAAAATATTTTTTTTGATACTATAAATTAACATCTTGATTTTATTATCCTTAAAGTCATACCTTGACTTTTTCGGTTGCTAAAGGAAAATAAATAAAAAATTCATAAATAATACATGTATTTTATAGCCTAGCAACAAAACTTTAAAAAAGACTAGGGTTTCTTAGTGCACTACAAAATAAATGTTTTGTATATTGTAAACATAATAGTTTCTACGAACAAGCTCAGAAACCATTCAAAACGGATTGAGTGTAATTAATAAAAAGGCTTTGAAAATGTTGGGAAAATGAAATTTAAATTTTTTATTTTTAACTCACATAAATTAACAAATGCATCACAAATTTCACTGGCGAGAAGACTCGACAATTTTTAAAAACTATTTTTAACAAGTGCAATTAGTTAAGTGAGAAACGGATAATCGGTGGTTAATACACAATAGATAACGATGGCAAAACTACGCAAAGACTAATTTAATTTTAAATTATGTCGGATCTCACTATTTTAAATCTTTGCTTTTTCACAAATATTGCATTAATATCAATATCAGCATTAAAAATCACATTAATCTACGAAAAAACGAAGAGGTTTTTTTAACAGTTAATCTTTTTTTTATCGTTGGTAAGTTTCCGCACGAACAACTTTAACTCAGTATAAATTTGAAAATTGGTTTTAAAACGTTAAAGTTTGGCTTAAAAACTTGTTTAAAAATATTTTTATAGCTATGGCTACGAAACTTTCCCGGAAATATCTATCATAGGTTAAAGAAAAGCTTTCTTGAAAACATCTTTCATAAGTTAATAAAAAATATGTTTGAAAATATCTTCTAAGTTTTAACGCAACAAAAAAATAAACAAAACCATAGCGCCGAATTTTTGCATATTTTTTAAAATATGTTATCTTTTTTGATCTTTAACGTAGATATAAACTTTTTTGTGTTTTAAAACACATCTTTTTTTGGCTCACTCAAGCACACTCACACAAACACATACAAACACAAACGCGTGCAAACAAAAAAGTTAATGAATACGTACTACCAAAGTTGCAGGTTTGACATGATTCAACAAATACGATACATATTATTACAAACTGTTATAGGTTAATAACTTGTGTAATAACAATAATAACATTAACAATAACAATAATAATAATAATAACATGTTAGTTTGCAGTTGTGTTAGTTTGTATTTATTCTGTATATATTTAGATTTAATAAAATGACAATACCAAATATTGGAGAACAGATTCAAAAGATTCACACAAAGACAACCGCTGAACAGGGCGTGCTTTGTTTAAACAAGGACAAATGTCAAACGAATGCTTTCCAAGCAGAATGTAAAAAAGATGACGCTGATAAAAGCAGTAAATACAAAATATCAGTCATAAAATCACTTTCAGCACTTGAAGATTTTATTCACGATGAGAAAAATGAACAAAAAAGTAAGCAAAAGTATTATTACTATTATTAAGAAAAAGTCAAACGTATAATATATATATATATATATATATATATATATATATATATATATATATATATATATATATATATATATATATATATATATATATACATACATGCATTCATACACCATACATATATGCAAACATACATAAATGCATACATACATACATACATATGTTATACATACAATAGGCTTTATATATATATATATATATATATATATATATATATATATATATATATATATATATATATATATATATATATATATATATATATATATATATATATATATATATATATATATATATATATATATATATATATATATATATATAAGGCCTACTCAAGTCTGAACAAAATGCTGAAAGAATTTTTTTTTAATATGGTCAAGCAAAATAGTAAAAATTTTAAAATAATATTAATTTTATGAAGAAAATATTTAAAAATATTATAATCTTTAAAAAGTATCAATTTATCCGACTAGCGAACTAAATTCGGCAAAAAACCGACTATAACTTGAAGATCTTCTTCAGGGGTGAAACACCCTTCCCCTCCCTTCCCCCATCCTTACAAAAAAAAAAATTGCCTTCGTATATATATATATACAAATGAATATACATATATATATATATATATATATATATATATATATATATATATATATATATATATATATATATACATATATATATATATATATATATATATATATATATATATATATATATATATATATATATATATATATATATATATATATATATATATGTACATAAAAATTTCTTAGTTACAACAATAATATGATTGCTACTAAATTTAAGTTTTTAAATATTTTTCAAGTTTTTAAAAAAGGTATAAAAATATAAAACAATAATAAGTTCAAATTTTTTTATGTATTATAAATGTTGATCCGCTTTTTTCATTTGATGAATAATTTTTTTGATTTTCATGTTTTATTTTATTTTTTTATGAAAAAAGGTTAACATGACTCTAAATCATTTGTAAGTATATACACCTGTTAATAAGGTTATTAAAAGTTCATAATTGGTTTTTAATATATTTTAAATTGCTTTTGTGAGGTTATGCGTGATGTTTTTGAAGTTGGTGAAATTTTCACTAATTTCTTACTTTTTTTATTTTTAGTTTTATTTTTTTAATTAAAAAAAAAAAAAATTATAATTAAATTTTGAAGTGTGTTGGGCATTAGTAAGAAGCCCTCCAAATATTAAAAAAAAAATGTATAATTCTAATTTTTTTCATTCTTTCTATTTACCTCAAAATTGTTTTTTATTTTTAAATTCTTTTAAAACACAGAATATTGTTACATATATATATATATATATATATATATATATATATATATATATATATATATATATATATATATACATATATATATATATATATATATATATATATATATATATATATATATATATATATGTATATATATATAAATATATATATATATATATATGTATATATATATATATATATTATATATATATATATATATATATATATATATATATATATATATATTCATATATATCTTCATAAATATATATATATATATATATATATATATATATATATATATATATATATATATGTGTATATATATAATATATATATATATATATATATATATATGTATATATATATGTATATATATATATATATATATATATATATATATATATATATATATATATATATATTATATATATATATATATATATATATATATATATATATATATATATATATATATATATATATATATATATATTATATATATATATATATATATATATGTATATATATATATATATATATATATATATATATATATATATATATATATATATATATATATATATATATATATATATATATATATATATATATATATATATATATATATGAAGATTCGTTTTAACATGTGGTCAAAGTGTATAATTTGCATTTGGTCAACCTGCCCCGTCGTGATGTTTAGTGTATAAAAGTTTTTATTCTTAAACCATTAACCAATATTATATATAATGCTAAAATAATCGTTAAACTAGTTTTAACAAGATTTAAATTTAAAACTTGGATAATGAAAAAACTTCAAACATAATCAATTATTAAATATGTTAATTAATGAATTTTTTTTTCTTTCAATTTTTCTTGTTTACCTGATTATTACTCTTAATATTTTTTTTGAAGCTTTTCTTAAACTAATTGTTAATTTTAAAGTATAAGGTTAATATGTAAATACGTCTTTTTTGTCTTATTTTTATAGCAGGTTATTTTTTTAAAAGAGGATAGAGGGAAAGGAGGGGAGGGGGGATTAGTAGCCACTGTTTTGTGCATATATATGCCAAATATATATATATATATATATATATATATATATATATATATATATATATATATATATACCTTTATATATATATTTTTTAATTTATTCATTTAAGTGTTTCAAATTACTTTGAAACATTTAAACGAGTATATTTGTAAATGACTACAACAAAAGAAATGTTTAACAATTAATAATACAATTATATGTGTAGAATTACCTTACGGTGGTCGTCCATTACGATTTCAATGCACAAAATGTTTAAGGCGTTTTCATGCTCCTAGTCACCTTAAAAGACATATGTTATGTCATACAACAGAAAGGCCATATCAATGCTATATCTGTAACAAAGGTTTGTTATTTCATTTTGTTTATAAATTGCTTAATATATAAAAAAAATAATACTTAATTTTGTAAAAAATATTACTTGATTTTGAAAAAATACTAAATTTTAATCATAGGCTTTTTGCAAGCATGGCATTTGGGACGTCATATGACAACTCATACCGGCAATAAGCCATTTTCGTGTCAAGAATGTTCAAAATCATTTGGGAGTCGATTTGAAATGAAGACGCATTACAATTATGTGCATCAAGGTTAATTTTACTTTATTTTGAGCTACTTAAAAAAAAAATGAATTGCTAAAGGAATTTTTTTTCTTTAAAAAATATTTTATATGTTCAAACACTCTACATATTCTTGTACTTTAAAAGACAAATTGACTTTTTAAATATTTTTAATGTAATTTTAAACGCATAGATTTATTTTTGCACTTAAAAATACCTCAATTTTGCTGTATCAAATTCATGTAGGCAAGAGATCATTATGATAAAAAAAAACACCCTGAAAAAGTATTACTGCTTCATGACTGATAATTTTGCGATATCTCAGGATTTTCAAAACATTACCTTCATGCGCCGTTAATTTTAGAAACTTTTTAAAACAGCCGTGACTTTAATAAAACCAATACTAAATACATCTTAAGTTAGCTTTCATGCAAAATAAATATTTTCTAATAAATGTATATCTTGATTTTCATAAAAATTAATTTCAACTGTTTTTAAGTTTTCGATTTTAAGTAAAGAAGTTTAAAAAGTTTAGTATTTTGCTAAATGACGTTTTTATTTAACAAATAACTAAGTTTCCCTTAGTCTCTTCTCTCTCGCAAAATGTTAAACTGACTTGATGGATGTTTAATCCTTAAATTAACTATGGCAATATGTTTAAAAACTTCGTAATATTCAGTGTTAGGTTTTGGTTCGGAGAAATTACTTGCAAATCACAAATATTTGAAAATTTACATAATAGGTGTTACTCTTTGTTAATTACAAATAAGTGTTTTAAACTTCACGTTGTTTCCAGTATAAAAAAAAATAATCTTACTATGACGACTCAAAATATTTCTTTATACTTTTAAACTCAAATATGACGCAAATATGTCATTACCGATTTTTCTTCTTGTTTATTTTGTTTATAAATTCTATAAAAGGTTCAACCTAATCTACTGATTCAAACAAAATGTTATTTTATTAATTGACATCAATTTTGTTTCAACAACATGTTAAATAGAAATTCATTAATATTTATGATCATTTAAAAGCTCTGCTTACTTTTTGAACGTTTATTATGATTATAATGATTATTATAATAGTTATCGATTTGCAAATTTAAAATTTAAACATATTTTTTGAAACTCTGACATTTGAAATTTAATAAACTTGTGTCATGCTGTTTCATCCTAATATTTGTTTATACTAAAGTTTCTTAAACCTGTTTTCATTTTTATATTTTGTATATATTTTATAAATTATATTTGTTGTAGGAATCAAAGACCATAAGTGTGGTGTTTGCCATAAAATGTTTACCCTTAGAAGCAACCTAAAAGTTCATATGCGCAAACATACTGGTGAAAAACCTTACGAATGTAGTATTTGTATGAAACGATTTGGGCAACGCGGTCACCTGCAGTATCATTTTAAGAAACACGGTAAACATTAAATAACAATTCATCTATTTTAACAGCTTAATGTCCATTAAATAGAAAACTTTGAGACTTAATTTTTTTTATTATTGTAGCCTCAGCAACCTGTCTGTTTGAAGTTAGCAAAGGAAATAAAGTTACTAGTCAAAGTTCTGACGTTGCAAAATTGGTATCACCACAAAAAAACATGATTGCAGAAAGAATTTTATCCAACATACAAAAAGATCAAATCTATAAAAGTAAAATGGGAAATGAAAATACGCAAGAAAAAAGCTTTAAAGAAGAAAATAAACAACCTGTGAGAAATTGCAAACAAAAAAAATACGTTAATTCATCTAACAAAATAAATGCTGTACCATTGTCTGGGAGAATTTTCGATCACGTAAATCCATCTAGCGTTAAAGCTTTCGTTTGTGTGACTTGCAACTGTGGGTTTGGTGAAATTAATTCTTTAAAAGCACACGTTCGGCATTCACATCCAAAAAAAAAAATATTCCAAGGTATGTTTGAATGCGCACACTGCAACAAAATCTTTTCGGAAATACTTAAATTACAAGACCATTTTGAAACGGTTCATTCTGTTTTAACCGCACCAAACATAAGTGAAAGTGAAAGGTTTAGTCAAATAAATGCAGGAATAATAAATAAATATCCAAAAGAGATTGAGATTGCGAAAGAAAAATTTTCTCAACCAACGTCAACTATTTTTTTCCCTTGTGATTTGAAATTTTTAAACAAAACGTCATCTGTTTTAAACCCAATAGATCAATCTTCAAATCATTTGATTGGAATCGAAAAAAAACGTGAACATTTTAGTAACAGTAAAATCTACTTTCATCCACCTTTGAATACCAACTTTAAACCTGCTTTGTATTTTAACTCTTATGACAGTAACATGTATAATAGCAACGGCAGTAACATATACCTAAATCACACGAACATAAAGTTTTAAAGTAGCTCAAATGACAAATATTAAACACTCTTCAATTTTTATAAACTAATAAAATAGCAATACTCAAGACATCAGTATGTAGCCATTACTGATGTATTAGACATACATCAGTATATAGCCATTACTGATGTATTAGACATACATCAGTATGTAGCCATTAAGTTTTTTTTAATAGGTTTTCTCCATAGAACGAAATTATTTAAGAAAATATTCATATGAAGTATTGCATTGTGTTTACTTTGTTTTTTATGTATCTCTTTTTACTAAAGAAGTTTTTAGTCGCAAAACATTAGTAACTAAGAACTGATCAAATTTTTCTAACCAAAAACTAAAACTTTAGATCGCTACATTATTTAAGGTCAACGTAAACATCATTTATTACACAATCATACCTCATGAAAAATTACAAAAAATAAAACAATAAAGTATTTAAAACATTACCATTATGAAAAGGGGTCGTCCATAAATTATGCCACGCTTTAGGGGAGGAGTAGGGGATGTTGTATATTCCTAAAGAAAGTTTATTTATTTATTTATTTTGAGAATATTTTTTTAATACAAAATGTTAACACGTAAACTTTTTAGCGGTTTTCGACGATAAGACCTTACGGTCTTCCACGAGTTCGCGCGTTCTTTTATTTCTTAATAAAGATCATGTATATATATATATATATATATATATATATATATATATATATATATATATATATATATATATATATATATATATATATATACATTGTTAAAAAATATTTATTAAATCACAAAGTTGTAAAATTAAAGAACAAAAAAAAAAATATATGTTTTTGTGACGACTCATACGGAGCATCAAATTTTTGTTGATAGCAAGTAAAAATTAATAAACTGGGGGTCTTAATAAGCATAAGGTCAAAGCCGTGGCTAGACAACCCATCTCCCAAATTGGGAGAGGGGGACCAGCAAGTTTAGGGGCTTTTTTTTACAAATATAAGGACCTTTTTTTTTAATAGTATGTATTGGAAAAACTTTTTAAGATTTTTGAGCCATAATGTTAGGTTTTGAGGAAAGCCTACGATATACTAGCCGCGGCACTGCTTGGGGATAGGACAAGAGCATCGTGACAATTAGTAACATAAATCAAAATGTCATCAAAAGTGAATATAATTTGTGAAAAAAACAAAAAAAAATTTAACATATTCATTTAAGAAAAAAATTTTATAATTCATAAGTTATGAATTTTTTTTAAATGAACAAGTTTTATTTTTTTTTCACCAATTATATTCACTTTTGATGACATTTTGATTTATGTTACTAATTGTCACGATACTCTTGTGTAGATTAAAATATATTATGAATCATAATATATTTTAATCTACTTTAAAAGTGCGGTTTTTTAATTGAACTTTGTTATCTATAATTTAAAAAGTTTTATATTTTAAATTATAAATATAACAAGAATTTAAAACATGAGTATGACAAAGATATAAAACAAAGTTATGATAAAGGTATAATATATCATAGATATAAAACCTAGATATAACATATGCAAAATATTAATATTAAGTAGATGCAGCCACAAAAAATGTCTTTTATGACAAAAAGATTACAAAGATTTTTATAATTAAACAACATCGATGGCTTTAAAATTAAGAGGTCTGAAGTTTAATGCTTGCTCTTGCAAGTTTTTTGAGCAAGACCAAATATATGCCCTTGTCCGCTTGCGGTTTAAGTAGTTAAGGCAAATATTCGTTAAAATTCGGATTACAAAGTTTGTATCCGAATTTGAAAAAAAAACTCAGCTTATAATATTTGCAAAATTTTGTTTAATCTTCACTTAAATTCGAAAGTTATTAATTTTTTTTAATAAAAAAGGAAAAGTAATTATAAAATAATTTAATGTGCATCAAGCTGTTTCTAAGCGGAACAACCTTCTTTGTCGTTCGCGTTTCAAATTTAAAGAGTTGTAAGGTTGTAACCACTGTAAAAAAAATAAATAATAAAATTTATAAATATGTATATATATAAATGAGCAGCCTCGTTGACTAAAGTGGCCTCTTCGATCTTGGCAACATGAATTCAGTAGGAAAAAAAACATATTAGAAATAGATTTGTCTCACAGAATAAATTACAAAAAAGTTTAAATTAACTGATTTAATAACTAAAAACTTTAAGCACCAAATCTATTAATCACTTATTAAATCTTATTTACTGCTGTCGAAAAAATTCTAAAAGTAAAAAACAGGTGAACATTTAACATAATATTTTTCACAATCTTTTTCCTTTATTAAATTGACATTCAAAAATTTTCATCAACGCATCAATGATCTTTTGCTAGTTTTCATTTAAAATCATTAAGGGTTGTAATGATCGCATAATTTAAATTCTCATTATTTAGGTGTGTGTGTAAAAATTTCAATATCTGCCTTTAGTCGAGTAAGGCCTAGAAAAATATTTTTGCCAACTGACCAAAAAAAAATTAAAAAGTCCTCCTAGGCAGATATTTACCGATTGCCAACATAGTTTCAATTTTACCGACAGTGGGACGAAATTTTAAAGTTTGTAACTCACAGTCTCAAATATTCTTCATACTTTGTAAAAACGGTCACCTATATAATTATCAGTTTTTTTTGTTTTTGATTATACTATAGGTTTTGTTTTAAATGTTACTGTTCTATTATACATGTGGTTAAGCTGAAAATTAGGACCAGCATAGTTTTTAGGACAAGAAATCAAAGTATGATTTTTGTTTTCAATGAAAACATTTAGAACTATATTAATATGGGGATTGTACTTCACCTATATCTATTTTTAAAATTCTAACAAAGGCTGAACGGAGGCCTGGTAACTGTGGTAAAATTAATTTTTTTTGAATTTTTTTGTTGTTGATATTAAAATAGATATTTTAAAGAGTGTTTTGATACAAGATTAATACGTTGGTTTTTTAAAGATTTTTTAAAAATAATCAAACAAATTATAATGAAAAAGTTGATTCGGATGATAAAAAAAAACCATTATCAATAGTTTAAATGAAAAATTCATAATAAATGTTACATATCAGAGCCATAACCGCAGTTTTTATATTGGGGGGGCTCATATTACATATTGAGCTCCTCTTTTTTTTAGGAACCCATTTTAGGAGCCCAAAGATAGGGAGCGGCCCAAACATAGCATGGGAAAAGCCCCCGACCTTAAGAACTATAGCCTATAGTTCTTTTATACAAAGGAGGGGATAAAATAGTTGTAAAATATATGTTTTTCCCTAATAATTGTAGTTTAATAATTTTTTTTTGAGGAGGCAAGGCTAGGCCTCCCTGGTCCTCCGGCGGTTACGGTTCTGTTTTAAAAAAGAAAATTGTCTATCTGGTATATCTGCTATGTTCTTGAAGATAATGGCTTTTTTAATAATAATTAGAAAATGGGGTTAACGAACTCAATAACAATCATCTCTACCTGGCCAGTGTATTAAGGTGTTAGATGAGGGTGCATGAACTTTACAAGGGCGTCTTCATTTTTTTCATCAACTTCAAATACTAAACCAACCCAGTTAAGCATAACATATTTGCAAAAAATTTTCCTGCAATGATTTGCAAGAAAATGTTATACAAAATATTGTATTGAGATAGTAAGGTTGAATGTTAAGTTTAATTTCTCCTGTTCAGAGACTCTTGACATTTATGTTTGTTGCATCCTGCGGAACAAATTGGTGGAAACCTCTTGTAACAGTTAAAGTCTTTGCATTATTTAATCAAAGAGTCAAAAATTTATGGACTAAAAAAATCCTCGCCTTTTAAAAAAAAGAAGTGGATACCAAATATGTTATCTTTGGAAAAATTAAACATTTCTTCAGCACTCTGAATTTGTAACTCAATCGGACGTTGAAGTCTAGCACATGAAACAAGTTTTTTAACTTATCCACCAATGCTATCACATGGTGACTTTTCATATAATGTTGCAAAGAAATTCCATTCACATTCCATCCCAAAATTTTCAGCATGATACCATTAATTCAAAAAATTTATTAATGTATTGCTTTAGCAGCATAAGAATGGGATATTATGCTACCAAGTTTTCACTAAGACTTTCAATGAATTTTCCCACTCTAAACGTTTAAGCTCTGCTCTATCTATTGTACTCCACTGTTTGTATTCATTAATTTCATCTTCATTAACCTTTTCTCTTTTTTTCATCATTTATTTATTTCATCTTCATTAACTATTCTCTTAACTCTTCTCCGGTTTAATTGTGCTAGGCATAATTTAATTAATTTAATTAGGCATAAGCTTTAGGTTTTGGTACATGGTGCATAATAAACAGAATGGGTTCCTTTTTGACCAGTATAAATACACTATTTTGGCTTTAACTGTGCAAATTTGGAAAATCTTTTTTTGCTCTAATTTGAATTCAATAAATAATTCAAAGTATTAGTTGTAAAGAAGTAATTGCTTTGATACATGTTTATTTTTGGATGTACTTACAAAATCTTTTATACCTGATCGACTGAACTGATCATCTCAATAAAAGTTTTCCACCTTATCAATGCTATCCGATTTAATTCTAACAATCTTAGTTTTTTTCAAGAAGTGTTAATATTCGTATTTCAAATTTTAGTTTTCTAGCTTTAGTTATGGTTAACTTTGATATTTGAAACACTTCAGCTGCTTTCTTTAAAGGCCATAAGTCTTGAACCAATGTCAAAGTATGAATTTTTTCTCTTCTGTTTGGCATTTTCAGCTTTTCTTGCATTGAAAGTATCAATTTATCTAGATCTTCAGCTTTCTTCTAATGTTCAGTATTGGACTCCTCAGTAATCTAATTTTTTTAGGTCTTTTGTGTTAACATTGATAGCTTTTTTGACATAACATCAGTAGCTTGCATTAATTTTCTTTTTTCTAGAGAAATTTTATCATATTGTGGAGCCCCATGAAATTTTACTAATTATACATCTAATTTATCAAAATGATGTTTATAAGTTCCTTTTCTTGTGCAATATTCTTTATCAATAAATGTTTGTTGCATAAATCACCTTCACCTTGTGCTCCTTTAAGGCCAATCATCTATTTTTTTGATCACTGCTTTTCAATATGAAGGATAAATTTTTAAACCAGTTGTCAAAGCCGTTCCGAAAAGATTTTAAAGGATGGGGGTAGGGGGTGGGGGGGAGGGGTGACGTATCTGTTTTTTGCAGACTAGGATCTTAAAGAAAAAAAAAGTCCTCATTGACTAATATTTGCAGACTGCCAATTA